CGGGCAGCGCCCACAACCCCCCCCGGCCGCGGGGGGGGGGGAGAGATACCAGCGAGCTGTGGTAAAGCTCCGCCCACTATTCTCCCCTCGCTCCCTTCCCCCACGCACAATGATTACAGATAATGTCTATATGAGGACAGAGTACACAGGGAGACTACATATCCCATGATTCCATGGGAAGGCACTGACATGCGTTGATGGGAGCTGCCAATCAATGGCTGTGGGCGGGGTTGTGTAATCGTACCCGCCCACAGCAGGAGCAGTGACATCATTCAGAAAACTACACAATGGGGGGGGGAATGTGACCGAGAGACATATCTATGGGGGGAAACGGGAGCGCCCGCTCACACAACCCGGCGGATGCAAGAAACATGGGGGGGGCGTATCATTCTGACAGAAGGAAAGCAAGCCCCCTCCCCCCACATATACGATTGTATTCCTCCTGGCTGGAGTTCAGCTTCATCTATAGACACGGCTCATATAAGGGGGTGACACGGCTCATATAAGGGGGTGACACGGCCCCGGGCTCTACAGTGTATGAAGGGCCCCATTGTGGACTGCTGTTGTCACAGCCCGGGCTGACTTCCCTGACAAGTGGGGGGGAATGTGACCGAGAGACATATCTATGGGGGGAAACGGGAGCGCCCGCTCACACAACCCGGAGGATGCAAGAAACATGGGGGGGGCGTATCATTCTGACAGAAGGAAAGCAAGCCCCCTCCCCCCACATATACGATTGTATTCCTCCTGGCTGGAGTTCAGCTTCATCTATAGACACGGCTCATATAAGGGGGTGACACGGCTCATATAAGGGGGTGACACGGCCCCGGGCTCTACAGTGTATGAAGGGCCCCATTGTGGACTGCTGTTGTCACAGCCCGGGCTGACTTCCCTGACAAGACGCCGGACCTCATTCAGACGGGGCGTCCACGTCCGTGCGGGCCCACCCCGGGGGGAACCGGTGCTGCGTGTTGTTGCACAGACAGTGTGCGGGACCCGCGCGGACGTACAAGTTGGGGCGTGCGGACGTGCGCGCCTCGTCTGAATGAGTGGTCAGCGACGGGTCCAATCAGATGGAAGAGAGCGATCGTCCCCGGAGGAGTCACTTCTACGGGGGACAGGTCCTCTTCCCTCCTCCATGTCTGTCCCCGGAGGAATCACTTCCAGGGGGGACAGGTCCTCTTCCCTCCTCCATGTCTGTCCCCGGAGGAATCACTTCCAGGGGGGACAGGTCCTCTTCGCTCCTCCATGTCTGTCCCCGGAGGAGTCACTTCCAGGGGGGACAGGTCCTCTTCGCTCCACCATGTCTGTCCCCGGAGGAGTCACTTCCAGGGGGGACAGGTCCTCTTCACTCCTCCATGTCTGTCCCCGGAGGAGTCACTTCCAGGGGGGACAGGTCCTCTTCGCTCCTCCATGTCTGTCCCCGGAGGAGTCACTTCCAGGGGGGACAGGTCCTCTTCGCTCCACCAAAGCGGCAGATTGACATCCAACGGAATGATCAGATCTTCCCAGCACAGCCGGCACCAAACAAATCATTAGACATAAAAGAATTCGGCTGGCAGGGGAGGGGCTGGCGGGAGAGGGGTTTAGGAGTCACTTCCAGGGGGGACAGGTCCTCTTCACTCCTCCATGTCTGTCCCCGGAGGAGTCACTTCCAGGGGGGACAGGTCCTCTTCGCTCCTCCATGTCTGTCCCCGGAGGAGTCACTTCCAGGGGGGACAGGTCCTCTTCGCTCCACCAAAGCGGCAGATTGACATCCAACGGAATGATCAGATCTTCCCAGCACAGCCGGCACCAAACAAATCATTAGACATAAAAGAATTCGGCTGGCAGGGGAGGGGCTGGCGGGAGAGGGGTTGAGGGGGAGATTTGGCGGGGGGGGAGGG